CGGCGCGAGGCCAGTTCCACGCTCCGGGAATTCAAACCCGAAGGCAGACTGATCGCGCCTCCCCAGGGACACGCAGCAGCTGGCGAGCAGGAACTCCAGAAAGTTTATGGGGAACCCTCGTCGTGTGCCCCACGAGTTCGCTCCAGCCAAAGCCCTTCTGTAAAAACAACTTTTGTTTTTATAAGGGTTACGAATGCTGCACGGAAAACAGCTCCGGCACCACGAGCTCTACCTGGGAGAGCAAAGGACATGCATCTTTGAGGGATGACAGAGCCCTTCACCTGAGTGATGGGACTTCAAAGTGACCCACTGTTGTCCACTCGCTTTCCAACAGGGAGAAATTCTCCGTAAAGGAGACAGCCTCTGTGTGCGCAGGGCTGGAGGACGCTGCTTCAGTGGGGCCTCAGCAAGACCCTGTGGCTCAACGCGCTTCTAAGGGTCTTAAGCCTGGAGCTGGGGTTGAGAGAGCAATTTGTGTCGCGCCCTACACCCTCGGTCCCTGCTGCTCCAGGGGAGCAAAGGAGAGGAAAAAAAAAAGAGCATCAACACGTCGAGTGAGGCAGCTTAAAGGATCAGAGCAACGAGCCGTGCTTCAGTGCTGCTTCTGCATATTCCTGGTTGCAGGAGTCTGGAGCAAGACAAGTGGAGAGAAGAGTTTAAATAGGAAATAAAGCACAGTCCTCTCACAAAAAAAACGTGGGGGAAGGCAACGGAGCTGTGCAGACGTGCAGAGTTTGGGGTCACAGCCCTGGAAATTCCTGCCGCTGATGTGCTGAAGTGAGAGATCACCTGTACCACCGCCTCCACATACCAAAGTATCAGCTAAAATAAAATAACGATCGCTGCACCACCTGATCTGTTCTGACAGGCACCTAGCGCTACGACAAGTTTTAAGTGGCTTCCTAAAAGTCTCCAAATAAACTCCCAACACTCTTTAACGTCTTTGTTCCACCGCGTGGTATCTCAGGGGGGCAAGAAAAAAGTTTTGGAAAGAAAGTGGGGATGGAGTTGTGGTCTAGTTTAAGTGGAAGGCAGACACGACTTTAGACAGGAGTTTAGTCTAGTGACACAGAAGTTGCTTTATCTTGCAGAAGACCCCAAGGTCGAAGCTACACTGGGACAAGTTTCCTGACCAGTGAAAAGACATGATTTATTTCTCAAAATAAACCCCCGCAACACTGAGAGGATGGACAAACGTATTTCCAACAGAACCTTCAGACAAGCACGTTGTCGATCAAGAGCTTAGAAGGGCTGAGACACAACTGCAGTACGATCAAAAAAAGGGTTCATTATTCCACTCCTCAGGGGCTAGACAAAGACAATGCCAGGTTTCAGAACCAAAAAGGGATTTTTTTGCAAACATTACAGGAACTTCAAAGCAGACAAAGTTTTGATTTAACCTACATGAACGGGCTCCCGACCAGAAAAAGCATCTGAAGGTTTTTCTTATAAGACGAACTGGAAAACTGAAGCTTAAAGAGTTGGCAAGTCCAGCAGCAATTCAAGCAATGAACTCGATGCAAATGAGACAGAAACGATCAGACTTCCCGACGACTGAAGAGTACAGCACGCACTGCCAGCCCGGCTGTCTTCTGGGGTTTTTTTTGTTTAATAAATCTGAATTGAACGCTGTGATTAAATATTCAGAAACTGGAGTACCCCATCCAATATGAAACAACAGCAGAAGCCTGTCTCAAAGCGCTTGATTTCTAGAGCGCCCAACGTGTGACAGGCTTACAGCGCTGCCTGTGCACGAAGCCTCAGCAAGTCCTCACCGTCTCCCACTGAAGACAGAAAGAAGTAATTCATGAGGAAGATGAGTGCACACCCACTTCGAGCGTTTACTCCCGGAAGGTAGCGCTTGCATAGTCACGGCAAGTGCAACTTTTCTAGCAAGTTCCCAAAGCTGAGCAGTAAAACAAGAGCTGTTAGAACACACAGAGATCCCCTTGCAGGAGTAACTCCAGACTTCTCTCGCCACCAGATACTCCTAAGAGCAGCGATGCACAACTAAGCACAGCCGTGTGCAACTTTAGGTATGTACAGAGTCTTATGTTTTCCTTTTTATTAAGCTTAGCACAGCGGTGGGACACACAAAACCTGAACTCTCTCAAGAGGCTCGGGTTTATTCCCAGGATCATTCACTCCCCCATTACAAAAGCATTTATCTTCCCAACCAGACAACAGCAAATCAGAAACAGACACGGGGTCCTTGTGGAAGTTCGGACCTCGTCTGGCCCACAGCGTGTGGAGCTGGGTGTAGAGTGCCGGAGATCCTCTGGTTCGAACATCAACACGCACCTTAAACCAGTGTGTAAACTCACCTGGAGATGGAGGCTGTATCTTAGTCTGAGACTTCTTTGAATCGGCAGCTGCAAAGATATCTGGAGGGGGGTCTTCACCTCGCTCAATCTTGCACTCAAAGGCATAGAGACACTGGATGTACTGCTTCTTCAAAGAACTAGCTGCGCTGCTGGACGTGCCCACATTGAGATTTGTGGCTAACTCGCGCCACTTCTTGTTTTTGTTGACCTGCACAACCAAACAAGAGGCTCTAAACTCAAAATTCCAGCTGCTTTTCCTTCAAGAAATTTTCTGGGGAGAAATCAACATTTCCCAGCTAACACAAAGGATGCGATAAGGGTGAAGCAGAGCAGATACAGTTGTGTTCGAAACCCAAAACTAGTGAACTCTCTTCCTCACCTACAGAAAACTTCTGCAATGCAGACAGATTTCTACAAACTAGGCATGAGGTCGTTTGACAGCCAAATGCAAAGACGGTGTCACCAATCTTTGCACTGCACAAAGCAGGGAAATATCATCTCGCCACAGACTGTTCTCAACCAGACAATGGGAGAGCAGACATGTGGCTCACTTGAAGGATGCTGGCTTTGAGAAGCATTATTAAAAAAAAATAAAATAAAAAATAAAGAGAGCTAACCTTGAATTTTGCCGCCCTTGTGACCGCCAGGCAGCTCAAACCACAAAGGCTCAGTCACACGTCGGCTGCTGGACACTCACCTGAGTCAATCCTCCAATCTCCTTCACTGAGACGTAGAGCCGGTAAAGGTCCAAGGGTTTCCTGCCTACCGCTGGGAGATTTGTCATGCCCATGGCCTTCTCTTCGGTAAAGGCCAGGTAACGATCTACCCAGATCTTTCTCTCAGGCTCACCACCCAGCTCATAGAGTTTGGTGATCTTCTCATTGGTTGTAGTAGAGGAACTGGACTTCTAGGAGAAGGAAAGATAGATCAGGACTGAGCAGCACAAAAGCAGCTGGGTCACATCCAAGGTGGTTTCAAAAAAGCAGCCAGATAAGAGTTCAAAGTCGCACTGGTGTATTGAGAACAGCTTCCTATTAGACCTACACTTGTCTCACATCCCTGTCAAGCAAATATTATTCAACCAAGGTATCACAAAACCAGCTGCCACTTATGGAATTCAGAGAATACGTATTTTTAAAAAGTGAAAGGTTTCAGGTATACTATAGAAACCAAACAAACCTCAAGGAGACTTTGCAGAGAGCCATCTCTTTGAGACAACAGGAATTCCTGAGTACACAGCAATTTGGAACACAAGTTTACAGTTACGAGTATCACACAGAGTTCCTGCTCATCTCTTTCACTGAGTTGTCCAAGTGTCTATTTAGAGGTAAATCCTGTGGTCCTGCATCTTGCCTTGCTTCCCCCAAGTCTTCTGAGGTAGTGCATGAGTGTGCTATTTTGTCTTTCAGCACCTGGATCACATACACTTGGAGCAAAGGCAGAAATGGTTTTGCCATTCCAAACGCTTACTTAAAACTGTAGAAGTGAAAAGTAGAAAGTTCAGTAGTTCCAAAACTTCAGTAGTTCCAAAGTAGAAGTGAACTTCAAATCTTCAAATTAGATGAGCCCCTAATGAGTGTATTCATTAGCACACGGGATAATCCTTGAACAGCACAGACGAGGAGGACAGAACAACCCTTATTTGTAGCTTCTGGCATCTCCCTAGCCCAAGAGCATTCAAGTCTTGTTTGTCATTAACAACAGAAAGGCAGATGCCAGAGCACATGAGCAGAAGTGAGAGATCTGAATCTTCTTGCAGACTGCTTGTGGTACAGGTATGAAACTTGCAGAGCATCTGCTTTCCTTCAAGTAGCAAAAGAAGAGGCTTCAGGCTCAGACACTGCTTTTTTTGGTGGTTCCTTTCAAACTGGTAGCAGTAATGCAAAGATAAACACTCCCCGAAGAACTCGTTTGCCTCCCTCTTCTGGCTTTTATACAGGATTAGCGGAGGTTTGTTTGCGAAACAACTGTAACACTTTAGTGTACCACCTCCCAGCTGAGAGGTGATAACTGAGTAGCTCCAAGCCTACACCAAAAACAAATCCAGGTTTGTTTACACTTCTTTTGGCAGTTTCACTGTGGCAGGTGATAATTTCTAATACTACATTGTTTTGCAAGTGAAATTCATTACTGCTAATGGGAAACGCTCTCCTTCCTTTCTGAACAGTTTATCAATCCCAGCAGTAAAGCCCTCAATTGTTTGAACTTTGATTTATCAGTTTGAACTGATAAATCCTGAAGAACGTCTTGGAACCAGTACAAGCACAGCCAGGGCTGGACACGTCAAGCATAATTCACGTTGAATCTCCTCGCACTGAGCACTTCAACTTCACAGTCTTTACTGATAGAAAAGTCCCTTTCCTGGCCTTACTGAGGGTTAAGGGGTCTCTGTAGGGAATGGCAGAGTTCAGGCTCCTTAAAAACACAGTTATTAACATCTGTGGGTAGTTAGTGATTTATAGCCAGAGCCTACTCCAAAACACACACGTACATTTCAGGACACTTAATTCTTTAATTACCCTCCAAAACATATCGTATCTCGGAAAAGGACATCCCACTCGCCACACTCTTGAGTTAGGACCACGGCTGCAGGGAGCAGTTGGATCACACACTACACGGACAATCGCACTAACGAGAAGTCTGTTCACATTAAGAAGGATCAATCAGCCCAGGTTACTCTCAGGAACCACACTCACTACTAGATAGAGGCACTGTTCAAGTTAACACGCAATGGTTTTGTCTCCTTGGATGCTGAAGAGGACGAAAGTCATTAAAAACAAAACCCAAAACATTTTACCTTTGACTTGGATTCTGCTTTCGGCGTCCCATCTGCCTTATTGTTCAGTTTAGTCGCAGGTGTTAGCTTGACGTCCCCAAGACCCATCATTTCAGGGCTCGCTGCCATCCCTAAGAAGTCAGAAGAATCTTTAACACTAATTTTCAGTCCAGTACAATGAAATCAATGAAAGGCCCTAACAGTCAGCACTCGGCTTACCTGCAGAGTTGTTGGCCATGTTCCCAGCCATGGGGTAGGGCGGGCCCTGGGGGTTTATCATGCCGGCCATGCTGTTGATGCCCTGTCCGTAAGGAGGTCCAGTGCCCATCATTCCCCCCTGGTTCATGTTGGGATAACCAGGAGGCCTGGGGAAGGCAAGGAAGAAGCAGACGCTTACTCCAAATAATAAGCATTAAGATCTTGTCTCCTAAGGAAGTAGGTTCGCTAAAAGGAAACCTTCTGCAAAGAAAGGGAAGAAGTGACTTTCTCCAGCTCGCTTCTCCAGCAAAAGACCAAAGACCAGGTGCTCTTCTAAAGCTTAGTTACCCTACAGCCTGAGCGCCCCTTTCCAAAGAAAAGGGGATGCAAACTATTTCGAAAGGTGCACTTCAGTTCTGAACATTATCGCCCTTCACCTTGTTCTACTCCATCCCCAAACTGAACTTCATTTCAGTTGTGAAGTTGCCTTTCCAGGGAAGAACAGATCTGCAAATAACGCAGCGGTTAAGTGAGAATTCATTATTTGCAGAGACGAACAGCGTAGTGCTCCGGCCACACTTAACAATTCTTCTTTATTTCTTTCCTTTTTGTTAGCCACGTAAGGCACGTTATGTCACACCTATCAGAAAGCCTCACGCACAACTGTCCCTCAAGCTTGTGACTCAAGGGGTCGAGCTTTGATGCTTTTATTGGCATTTGGGAACTTGACCTCTTGGCAGTCACAGGTAACACCAGATTGCAGACTGCAACAGCAGCCCTCAAGTCAGCATAAAGAGCACAATGCCCAGTCAGGCAACAAATACATCTCACAGCTTTATTGGGGGAACCCAATTTTTAAGCACATTCATGGCTCTTCATGGCATTCTGGTAGGCCACTTACACTGAAATGTGCAATTAAAAAAAACCCCACAAAGCCACAACCTAAAAACCCCCACAGAAAATAGTTGCAAAGTTCAGTGCTGAATTCCAGCTCCCTTTCCCAAAGCTGCTCGTCAAGGCCCTAAAAGGAAGAAGTTCAGGACACTGGACACGACAAATGCAGCTGGATGGCTGTCTGCTGGATTTATGGGCTTCACCACACGCTCAGAGTCTTTTAAGTCACTCATGTAACAAAGATGACTAGGCAGCAAAAACAACTGAAGGGATCTCAGATTTAAATAGATTTCACCTACGAATAATAAGAGTTCCCTAAGCATGCCATTAAAGACTCTGCTTGCCCAACCTTTACATTCTTCCTTTTTAAACACTTAAGACTGATAAAAAGGTCTCCAAGAAGTGCAAACCTTCAAGGAAATCTATGCTCAGCCTTGCCTCAAATTCGGGTTATTCCATCTGCAGCTTTGAACCCCAAATCTGACAAAGGGAAGGAACTTGAAGGGACATCTCATCCCTTACCTGTTCTGGATGGAGTTGGCAGCAGCGTGCATGGCGGCAGCGGCCGCTTCTTGTGCTTTGCGGTTCATGCCGCCCGGCGGAGGGCACATCCCTGTCCCCACCTGAGGTGGCATATTTGCCATGTTAGGTCCGTAAGGTCTGTTGCCCATGGCGGCGTGGCTCATCCTGCCCGGAGGAAGCCCGCTGTACGGCGGCACGCCGCTCTGGCCGTGCATCTGGCTCCCCGCTGCCATGGGGTTCATGCTCCCTCCCATTCCCGGACTGGGGTAGTTGGCATTGGACATGGCGTTGTAGTTTGGCTGCCTGGGATAACCTCCTAAGGAGATACAAAGAGGGGAAGACAACATCATTCAACTCGTCAGTTTATGAATCACCATCAAAATCTTCTATCAGCAAATATTTAAAGATCACTAACAGAGATGAGGGGGAGTGTTAACACCTCAACAAAAAGTCAAAGTACTTGGATATAAGCCACATAAAATGTGTTTTGACACAGCCAAGTAACAACACCAAATCAAAAGCTGCCTGAAACTCTCCCAAACCTCAGCTGAGCAGAGTGAGCTAAATGGTCCAGGACAGAAAGTAAAAAACCCACTTAACCCTTTACAAACATCCAGTTCTCCTCCTCTCCAAACAGGACTGGCCCTTCTTCTCCATTACGCTGGATGCACAACCTCCTTTTTAAACAAGGAGGAAGGATCCTACATTTACAGATACAACTAGCCCTGAAAGCAACATATTTCATCAATCTCAACACAAACAAAGTGCAGTTTCTTACAGCTCATAAGGAGCACCTCGTTATGTATTATCCACATGTTAAGAGGGGACAAATAAAACCAGTTTATTACTGATAAGATGTTACAATAGGAAGGGGCATTTTGCATTGGCTGAGCTTGGTTCCCACCTCAAAGAGCTGACCACGCCTCACCTTGAGGTCCGTACTGGCCACCCTGGGGTCCGTAGCTCCCCATGGAGTTCTGCTGGTAGGGCCCCATTCCAGCGTGCATCTGTCCTCCAGAAGACTGACGGGGAGATAAGGCTGAGCCGGGCTGGGGTGAGCTGTACTGGGGCATCTGAGGGTTCCTCTGCATGTAACCTGGTCACCCAGAGAGAGGAGCACACAATTATTAGTGCAAAGCATCCAGGGGTGCCACTGGACACACGTGTTCTTAGGTAACAGCAACCCACGGGACCCGCTAACAAAATCCTTTCAGCCACAGCCCAGACAGGTTTTACAGTGGTTGCTATTAAGCAGCCGGTGTTATCTGCCAAGATAACAGATCCAATTTCCTGTTTTAACCAAAAAAAAAAGGAACAACCCAAACAACTTAGTGTCACAGGAGTAGACAACAGGGCTCTGCGAATCTTAAGGCCTCCTAGTTGCTGTTGTTTTTCCTTTGTTTGTTTTCTCAGGGTGACAATATATACCTTCAGCTGGTATTTTACACGCATTTCCCCGACACTAACCTTATTCTCTTCGGGGGCAAAAGCAAGCAATACTGTTGTGAGCACCCCTCGTTTTGAAGCTTAAGGTCAGAGAACTTGGACAAGCAACATTCACAGAAAAGCGTGTCAAGTGCCAGGGAAAACATTTTACAAGCCAAGCTATTAACTTGGATGGAACATTAAGAAGCCAAACAACCAGGAACCGTTGGATTTACTACAAAGGTACCTAAACAAATCCAGCTTATAAACCTGAGACAGCTTTTAAATGCTATCGCACCACAGAACCCCACGTTGTCAGGCCAGGTAATTTTCAGTTACACATCTATCTTTACAATTCAGTCTTTTAACTCATGTCACACACCTCGATCTTGCGCTATGCTTGACTGGTTCATGGAAGGATGCATGATACTGTCCGACTGGCCGCTGGGCGGTCGGGGTGGCATCTGATTGCCTACACCACAAAAAGGAGAGCGGTTAATCACAAAAACTGGCACTCCACAAAACCCAGGAGGCAAGAGTATTAAACACCAGAACTACAAACAACTTCGGGAGAAGGGTACGTTAGCCACAGCGAAGGAAAACAACAGCGAGATCGGTCACGCTAACCCAACCAAATGACACTGCTGGTTTACCAGCCATCCCGCCCATCTCTCTGCACCCTTCAGAAGCTACACACACTCTAAAGCAAACAAATGAGATCACAGGACCTCAGCAACCACAGAGTGCTGACCCTGGCCAGTGACTCCCATTTTAATTCCCTCCCCAGCTGCACGAGGTGGCCCCACCAACAGATCCCAGGTGCCGAGCAGCGTTACCTGGTACCGCGGCAGGTGAAAGTGGACCAGAGCGGGACTGAGCAACGCTAGCTGGAGATCCAACTGGGGATGGGGAGGGTCCTCTGATGCCTGGCAGGTGAGGAGAGGTATGTGGAGAGAAAGGAGACTGAGCTGGGTTACTCTGCTCTCCTTGACTGCTGGAAATCCCTGATGTGCTTACTCCAGGACTCAGGGCTCCTTCTGTACCCAGGGGTAGATCATCTATTGAACCAGACAGGTCCTGCAATACACAGAGAAACACATCAGGCAAAAATAAAGAGATATGGGGCTGTTCTCTCACATACCACTAAGAAAGAGTGCATTTCTCCCTCAGGCATACTACAAATAGAAATCAATGAACTCCACTCATGGTACTGTCAGTAACGAAGGCGGCTGCACACTGAGGTAACTGCTAAATGTCTTATCCTGCTGCCTGTCTCTGAACCCAAGAGTTCCCTAGCTGGCTTGCCGAGTGCTTGCTGATGGTCCAGACAACTGTCTAATTCTCCTCCTTGCTTCTTTTAATTCAGTTTTGAGGTGAGAAATTAAAGAATGCATCAACAATACACATAAAGCTGCAAACACATGAGACAGTCCATGTGATCGTGGCTGGGAAGAGAAACGTGGCTCAGCCTCTGAAAGACAGAAAACTCCTGCCTCACCATAATTAATTCATAAACCTCATATGAGCTGGGAAACTACTCACTTGAGATGGATAAAAACAAACTAAACAGAGATTTAAAAGAAAACCATAAAATACTCTTCAGGGTTCCCACTTCCCTTTCTTCAAAGACAGCAAAAATTAGCAGTAACAGTATCAGCCTGTAAAGTTCATCTTTTCTTGAAGGCAAGGCTAGAAAATACCCTTTCTGCTGCATGGATCCACCCTGAAAAAGAACAGCACGAAAAGCCTAAGGAAGTTGAAACCTCCAGTTGCCACAGTAGCGACTGCAAAGCCACAGCACAAAAAAAAAATAAAATAAAATCAGCTGGCAAGTCTGAAAAATGGGGAAACTTTCAAGAAGATGATACAGAGATCCAACAACATGCACAATTGTACCAGCCCTTTGCTAACAAGGTGCATCAGCTATTCAGGCTTGGCCTGGAGTAAATAAATAACAGTCTGAGACAGAGTAAGTGGTGGCACATTTGAACAGAAAGCTGGGAAGTTCTAAATATTCCCTCGATTAGATAAAAATCTCTGCCAGAGGTTCAAAGGATCACAGCAGGTGAAGAAGCCAGAGGAAAGCTTACCTATCCTTTGTAAGTCTTTCGGAGCGATCAACCCTGGCTCAGAAGCGTTCTGGCCTGAGCCCTGAAGGCACTTCGGATCAACTCCCTCAGCGCAGAATTCAGCTGAGCGGCACGACCAGAGCCGGCCTCATTTAAAACACCAGGCAGAGCCAGCTGATAAGTAGCCTGGACACCCTGGTCTCATTTACACCGACCGGCTGCTGCCGTGTTTAGCAGCAGTTCGGGTAACGTTTTCCCAGCTCTGGGCAGTGCAGAAGGTCCTCAGACACAAGATACTGCAAACTTATCTGCCTGCAGGAGCAAGCGAGAGCCCCGTCGCTCCGTAACACCCGTCCGCCAGGTGATGTGCGAAGCCTCCGACAGCAGGTCCCCATCATCATCCCCATCCTCAGAATTGGGAAACTGGAGTTACAGAAGAATAAAAAGCGACCCAGGAGATACCCGACCACCTCATCACACTTGTTGGATAGACAGGGACAGCCAGAAGGACGAAGGGGAGAGCTGGGCATGGGTTGCACCCCATTCAGTTGTTTGCTGCAGCAGGGCAATCTTGTCTACTTTAACCGTGGAAATTTGACTAAAATACTTCTCACAAATGCTGGCAGGTGCTACACCCGAGCTAAAAATGCCAATCAGTTGGTGGGATGACCTAGTCCTTCCTCCCCTTCCATTACTGCTTCTGTCTGAAAGACCAGTTCCTGCACGACAGTCTCGGAGGTTATTGACTTGCTGCTGAAGTATTACCTTCCCAAGGAAAAAGAAAAAAAAAGCGCTTTGTTTTATATCAATAAAAAACTAAAAAAAGCTAAAAAATTGCTGAAAAAGCCTAAAAAGTGTCTAAGGGCTCTTGCAATTTTCGCTGCCTTCCTGTTGTAACCTCTTAAGCATTGCTCCTTTATGCAGCTACTTGTCTGCTTTTGGTTTTTTTCCCTGGGCCAACTTCGACAAATCCCACATTCCTACTGCAGAAACCATCTGAAGTGCGAGTAAAAAAGACAGTATTCCCAACATTCTGCATTAAAAAGCATCATCCAACACAAACAGTTGACAGCAAAGGACTCCTCTTCCTTTTCCTGAAGCTTGCTGCAGCTAATTTCAGCCACCGGTATAAAATGCGCATCTAGACTTCCCCCCCGAGTTAATGAAAGGCTCACAACATCCAGAAGCCAATTTTGTCCAACCTAAAACAGGTATTTCTTTTAAATACATTAAGTTACTTTTAGTTTGAATCACCAAACGCATCCAAACGCTGTTTTCATCATCAGCGAAATGACGCTGAGGGCCAAAATCCGTTGCAGATTTCAAGTCCCCACCACCACGAGCTTATGCTCTGTAGCTGGTCCTTTCATGCCAGTATTTTGTCTCGGATGTATATTTATAATGTGGAGCTTTTCCTCCCTTTGAGCCTAAAAACACCTCATCTAAGTAGCCTCCAGGATCTGAGGGAGGTCACTGTCTGCTCACACACCAACCGGGCAGACTACGAGGCTACAACTTGGTGATGCCAGGCACGAAAATATCTGCAAGACATAAAAATGAAGTTTAAAACTGTTTGAAAATTAACTCCTAAGTAACTAGATAACCATCTTTAAAGCCGGAGTCTTCAGCCTATGCATCAAAGCTCCACCTAAGTACTGCAAGTCATTTAAAAACATTCAGTTTTAATTAAGCAGGTTAATACAGGGTTGCTTTAGACATGCAAGGAAGGGCCCCTCTGCATTGCGAGCATACCAGCACCGACCTCACCGGGAGCAAAGCAGCCCTTCTAGCGACAGGGCCGTGGATCAGGCACTCAGATCATCCGTTTAAGTAAGTTAAAAGCAAATTACAGGTCAATTTTTTCTTGGATGTCAGGGCACAAATTGTAACAGGACCGCAAAAATCAAGTAACTCAAAGTAACTTTCACCTGGAAAGATCTGCAAGTTTTACGAATTCCGACAATAAAGTAATTTCCCAGCAAAGGAAGGCTCTGCCAGTGCAGCAGCGCTTTTCAGAATGGG